GGTCCATATTCGCTGCGCTAAAAATAAAAAAAAAATATTAGAACGTACAGCAAAGGATACAAATAACTCATAGGAAAAAAAGAAATTGGATGGCCAGATGCAGGACATAGTATAACTGGCAAAATGAAATTGCAAACTGTATTGAATTATGCGCAAATGCGATTAAGACTATGGAGAGTGCGACAGCGAGTCAGGGAATTAGCCAGGTAGAATATTACACTAGACTGCACTATGCATCACATGTTTGCAGACTTACCCGGGCTGAGTTGGCAGAGGGCGAGAAAACCCGAGAAACGGAATTGTAAATCGACTTGACCAGGCCCCCTTCAAGGGTTAAAATGCCCAGCAAAGGCTCACTTCTATCGTCCTGGTGCTTTTGCCCCACCTGCGGCACCTTGTAGAAAAGTAGGCAGAGCTCCTCATTCGGTATGCGATGGTGGAACCGGATTTTGCCATCGGATTTACTGTGCACTGCCGAGATGACCGTGTGCTCCTCCTGTTCCAGGAACTCCAGAATCATGACCGTTTGCTCGTCCAGTTTGGAGCCCGGCAACCGGGCGGAAAAGTATTCCACTAAAGGATACATTCTATGTGACTTTGAATGGTTAGCATACCACAATACTCACCCGAGGTATTTATTATAAATTTGGTGCGTTGGGTCATCTTGAATTAGTTTTTCCGCTTCCAACGCCTCTTGTTAATTTTCACTTTTCACCAAAACTCTTTCACTTTTCTCAAAAGGAAACCATTTGTTGTCCTTTTCGGTTGCCATAGGCAACTCGAACAATGTTGCCCCGCAGTGGTGGGTTTTACACAGAAATAAACCTTTGAAAGTGTTAAGTATATTTAACAGACATAAAGAGAAATAAATATTCAGATAAACATAATTAATTTTTATTAGTTTAAAAAAAATTATAATTTATGTTGTTTCTGTTTTAATAAAACATTATGTTTAAAAAAACATTTTTCCTTAGAGAAGAGCAAGCCTTTTATTTTAATATCCATCATTACAAAAGTAATTGGAGATTCATTATCCTTATAAATACATAGCATTGTTAAAATATTTTAGGTTTTTGAATAATACATATATTTTGATTCAGATGAATGAACTTTGTCGTTTACAATTCTAAAGTTCTTTAAAAATAAATTATAATTAATTACTTACTTTTGAGTTCCTCCAGTGTATTAGCTTCTGTTACTAAGCCGGTGGTTGGGTTTCGGTGTTTTTTCTCCCTGCACCTGTTGTTTACCCTTGGGCATATGACACGTGTTGTAGTTGCCATGGCTTGTATGTGTTGTGGAGGACCTGTGTGGTTTGTGTTAGCCCCTGTCCAGTTTTCATGCATCCCCTGGCAATACCTCAATCCACTCTGGACGCCTGCTAATGAAACGAAGCACTCGACTGGGCGACTGCACTAAAAATGCCTCAGCAGGTTTATATCATTTGAATGCCCATTAATTGAATTGTGCGGGCGTGCTGAAATGCCATTTTCCTGGCAGCTGGGACGAACACGGGCAAGGACTCTGGTCAGGACATGCCCAGATTTGACAGGAGCCAGTTTTACGACTTTGGCAAACCTGTAACAACTCAATCTTGGGGGACAGCAGGTGATGTGTCCAGTTTTGGAGAAGGAATGTGACTTATCAAGAGTTCACCGAATTTATTTTAATTCAGAAAATTATACTTATGGCTAGAGATTGGAGTTTAGAGCCTAAACATTTAATAACTTTTATGGAAATTTGAAAAATAGTTTTTATTAGTTTATTGATAACTGGGCTTTATAAATCCTTAATAATTTTGTTCTGTTTTATATCCTGGTAGCCATTAATTTTCTATATCCCCTTTTCCACTTGGGCCGAAGTTGTCTTGATTCTAATCGCATTTTCGTTGAGCTGGGGGATCCAAGTTGCGCCTTAACTTTCGGCATTGGTGCAAAACTTAGTTAGGCCAACTAACTCCGTAAACTATGAGTTAGGCTACCGCATATTCCGGGCGAAGGCTTAACCTACAAAGGACCGAGGAACACTCCACGCAAATTTAATAACCGATGCAGGCCGGGTGATTCGCAGAATGGGTTTGGGTGGCTCACATTCACGGGAAAAGCCAAGCATCAGGCGCTTAAGCTGTCTGCATGTGTTTGATGCAGCAAACGCCGAAATGTTTGCCTCTACTTCCTTTCATCCATCCTCTTACTTTCTCCACTCTCTTTTGTTTGGAATCAAACAAAGTTTCATGGAAAATGGGAATTCTTTTTTTTTGCCTGCAAAAAACAGTTTTTCCTTTTGTTTTTTTTGCAGAAAGGCTCAAACTGTTACTACTTTCAACACTCGCATTTCTGTGGCAGCCCTTAGCCATTTAAGCAAATTAACTGTGTGCTTAAATTGTTCTGCAATCTCTGCTTCCTGTTTTATCTAACCACAAACTTTCTCTTCATTCGTTTTCATCACTTAAAGTGGGACGAGTGGCTATGATAGGAGATTCTTAATTTTTATCAACATTTATTATATAACTTGCATGTTTTAAAAACCTAAAATAAGTAATTTTTTATCAATATTTTAGATTAAATAAGTTTAGTTTCTTAAAACTGATATGTTTCTTTTTTGTCATACAGAACATTTTGTTAAGCAGTAATATCTCACAATTACAGAATAAGAACAGGCATTACTTCCGGCACAATTTATGATCTGCAGCTCATTTGAGTATTCGACTCCCATCAGGGAATCCAAGCAAAACCCCTCTAATTGGGCATTTAATAAAATGGACCAGAGTATTACATGATAAATACCCAAAAGTGGGCACTAAATTTATTCAATGCCTAATAGTTGTGATGGTTGCTTTGGCTGATGGCGATTTATGGTTTTGGGGGATTTTTATGCGGCTGCCAGGGTTGCCAACTACTCGCACTCGTATCGATAATATTTTATGTGTTTCTGTTTTTTTATTGCCTGCGATTACGAGACAGTTTTCTTCGGGGGGCTGCGAAACAAATCCACTGACAAAGACAATGGAGGAACTTCCTTCCAGGCATGTGGCAATTTTAGTGCTGGCTTGGCCAAGAATTTATGGTTTATGGATTTTGTCAAATTACATGTTATTCTTGCCAGCTTTTCCAACCAACCTTTTGTCTACATATAAACTCCCAACACATTCGAGGCGTTTGCATTTGAACGAGGGGGAAATTGGGAAAAATGGGAAGCATGTGTGTCTTAGGCTTTTTGCATTGAAATTGCTCTTTGATGTCCCCTTACATTGTTTATTTGTTTACTTTCCTTATTTTATTTTTGCCTACCATAAAAGCATATCAATGTGTAAATTTTTATAGCCCAACAGCTAGGCAACCATAAAGTGGAAATTATATCGAAGATTATGATTGTTATGTGTTGTCTACGACATCCAATTTATGCATGTCCAGGCTAATAAATAAATATAAATTGAAAGCAGAAGAGCAGTTACAGGTCGTGTTTGTGGGCTTGCTGGGCAAATTCCTTCATATATGGTGATGGCAAATAAAAATGTGGTACATCAGTACCAAAAGGGTTGAGAGGGGATTTCAAAAAACGAGTTTTGGGGCATTTTATGCACCGAAATCATTTAATATGTAAATTAAATTACAATGCTAAAAATATTTATTGGAGGCACCATGCTTTTAAATAGTTTTTTTCCAAGATTGGGGATATATATAAAATGCTGGGAACAATGTAAACAAAATTCCATTCCTTCTGGTAGCATTCTATCATTCTAGCAAGTACAATCATTTTGCCCTCCTTATCGATTACGATTTGGTTAATTGCTCAAATGGCTTAAATGGCAAACAAAAGAAATGGGGTAAACTCATGATGGTCATTGCATGCGAAATATTTTCTGGCTACCACGCCTTCAAACAATACCAAATGCATCGGCAAATAAGCCAGGAAGGCAGGATGAATCTAATTGGGGCGGAGTGGATGGAAGTTTTTGAAAAGAAATCAGGTAGAATTGCCGAGCTATTGCTTGTGCTTGTGGGTGTCTGTGTGCTTGTAAACAATGAATATGCATGACTTGCCATGAAGCATGCCACACATGCAACAACAGAAATCGAGAGACAGGAAAAGCAACTTCAATTTGCGAAAGTGATATTGTGTTCGGGGAAAAAAAGAACCAAAATGCCAACGAGCACTAGAGGATAGAGATGGCAGTGGCGAGGCAGAAAGAGATGGCTGGCACACTCCTCGATTGACATGCATAACGTTGATTAATTAATGCCGTCGATATTGCCGATGACAGATGCTGGAATTTCCTCCTCTCGAGCGGAAATAGAACTTAGTCGGGCTGCCTGGCTTTGCTACCTCTGGCTGGAAAGTTAAGAGCATCTTAACCCCTTTCATTTGCGAAATGCTTGCCATTCAGTTTACATAGTTGGGGAGTTTTTCGATTGGGAAATGCATTTCGAGTTCTCGCATCCTTAAGGGGTCTTCACTGTGTCTGTGCGGCATAATCCGGCAATTAGTAAATGTCAAATTCCCAGCTCGCATTGAGAGTCAAAATTTACAGCCTGCGAATCGCAGTTATATATCATCGGGGCGGTCCAAGGAGACGGCGCCTGTAAATATGCAACGGAAATTGCAGCTACGCATGTGATTATGTTGTCCCTGTCTCCGAGGAGCGCATAAGTATGCAGGAATATGTAAACATGCGCTGCATATATATGCGCCAGTGTGTGTGAGTCTGGGTCCTTGGCTTGATTAAAAGCCCTGTCCCGGCGATGAATTGTTGCTGCATACTTTGGGGCTTTCCTGAGGAGCAGCACGCGTCCTTAAAGGTGAGCCAGGTCTCAAGTTTTTGAATTTAATGTGCAGAAGCTCTATTCTGGGTATAGTATTTTGCTGATGACCCAGTAAGTTGATGTATACCACTGATTAAACTAGTGATACCCCTCTGGAAGAAATATTTGTTTTGATGAAGAGTCTAAACTGAGGAGCATAGGTGTTTAATGTTGAACAATCTAGTTGAAATACGCACTCAATATTTAGTAAACGGAAAAAAAAGTAAAAGGAAAATATATAAAATTTCTGAAAAAAAAGAAAAAATTGAATTTTCTGGGTAAGAATAAACCAATAAAAACTATCAGAATTAAAACTACATTTGCTTCATTGGCAGAACATACAATAAGATGAATTTACCATCGAAACCAAAAGATAAAATAACAGCTGTAGCTCCTATAGTTTGCGTTAAAAGTCCGGATAAAATCGAGCCGCAAATAAATTCAAGCATGTGCGATGAATACGAGTGTGAGTTACTTCGTCTGGATATGGGACTAATGATAGCCGATTACAAGAACTGGGAGGCCATTTTCAAAGAAACCCAGTTAAGAGTTAAGCACGAGATTATTATGTATGAAAAAGCTGAGGAGGTAGTTTTAAAATTAATGGAAGACAGCAAAGTCGAGGCGAATGTTACAAATGAAGGAAAAGGAATTTATGTGACAATCTCGTACAAACCCACCGATTACGTTTACATTAATGTAAGTAATAATAATGGTCTCAGGTGCTTCACCCTTCTAAAGGCCTTGGACTGGGTTCAGCAGAAAATCATTGATCTCAGGACATCATTAAGACTAATCGAGAATGATCAGCAGTTTGTAAACGCTCAAAGCGAGAAAATCACTTCGATAGAAAAATGTTTAGTGAAAAAGGAAAAGTTTCTGGCTCAAAAAAGGATAGCTGTTGAAAAACTTAACCAAATGAAGACTACTTTTATGGAGAAACCGGAACCATTTTTGGAAACCAAAAAGGATTTTGAAAGAGAATTCATGGAGTTTATGGCAGAGGTGGAAAAGGACAACGCTTTGTTGAGCCACATGACAGAAGATATTTTAAATCTGTTAAATAAACTTTCGGCTTTTCGATCTGAAAGATTGACAGATTCGATTGTCAATCGTGTACGAAGAGAAATCAACGAGCTTCTTGCGAAATTAGGAGAACAGAAAACACAAGATGAAATTTCTAAGACTGATTCAGCTGAAACCATTATTAATATTAGCTTGACTCAAAATTATTCGGTTAAAGGCGATACAACGGAAAATGATTCCAGGAAAAAATATTCTGCTGAAAATATGAATAAAAAAAAAATGAAGGTAATCAATCCGATGGAAAATGTGTCCATTAAAATAAACTCGACCGGAAAGGATTCAAAGAAAATTGATTCCCCGCAGAATAACTTCGTTTATATTCAATCTACTAAAAATAGTTCAATTTTAGCCGATTTAACTAGAAATGATTCCATCATAGCCGATTCGTCCGAAATTGGTTTAGAAACGAACAAAGATCAGTCTGCAAATGAAGTTCAAAAAGATCAAACAAAATCGATTAAAACTAAACCGACCCAAAATGATTTAAGTAAAATAGATTCCAGTGAAAATAATTACGGAAAAAGGGGTTTAAAAAGGTCTAGGGATCAGTCGGCGACCGAGGTCATAAAAACTAACCAAGATCAAAAATTATTACCAAAATATATAATGACAAATTATACTGATGTAGGCAAGCAACAATTTGAAGATGATGACAACCAAAATAAAACACCGCTTTCTGAAATACATCAGCTAGTGGATGATTCCATTTTACGTATGACAGACATTCTAAGTCTGCGCTCACTTGATATTACCGATAGAGAAGAATTTAATGATAATGACTCGATAACCGATTTAATTGAAAAAGAATCGAATGAAATCGAGCTCTCTGAATATGCGACTGCTACTGAAGGAAAACAGCGAGATCAAAAGTCGCAAAAGGAGGTAATGGAGAAATATACAGATAATTCCAATAGTTGTGGTAAAAGTTTTTCCAAATCAACTATCAATAATCTTAATGAGGATGCCGAAAACATCATTGCAAATGATACCCCAACTAGTGCTCTTCAAGAGATAGGGAATATCTCCCCAAAACAGATGACATGCGATTCTAACTATGACGATACCAAAAGTGATGGATATTTTACTAAAAGCAGATCTAAAAACCATAAGAAGGTTATTTCTTGTGAAATAGGTTTAGAAAGAGATTTAAGTCCAGAAAAGATTGGCAATCTCCTTCCGGATATGCCAGTCTCTAATGATCTTAGTAAATACGTAGATGCTTGTCTGGAAAAGATGACTTTTCTTCTACCCGAACGAAAACTACCATCTAGAACAGAATCTGAAGATTTGTCTTTAGTATACGAAGAGGAAAGGGATAATGACATAACCATAACAAATAATTCCAAGCACAATGATAATCAAGGTTTTTATAATTTTCCAGGAAACCAAGACAATAGTGATGGCGAGTCAACCTAAAAGATGTATGGTATTATTATATAACAATCAAGAAATGTTAAAAATCGTTTTCATTATATTTGTATCACAAAAATGAATGGTTATAAGTTCTCGAATAAAATGTAACTTAAATGAACGACCTGCTTAGAAAATTAAGATTTCTTTTAATCTTATAAGTATAATAATAAGTATATATAATTTTGAATTAGGATATACCCCTACTTAAAATGTAGTTTTTATTTAATAGAAAACAAATTTCAACTTACAAGTTCGATTGCCCTACAAAATATTTATTCTCTTAATTTTTATTTTAACAATGCCGTTTCCAATTTATTTACGGAGCTGTGCAGGGCTGGCATCTCTTCTGCAAGTCCCAAATGAATAATTAAACATAATTAGCCACCATTAACGAGAGCACATCCCCCGGAGCGGGCCGAAACCGAATGCAAAGCGCAGCTCTGACACACACAGTTGGCCAGCTCGGGGGCATTCTGGCCAAATCAAAGCGAATCAACAGCCCGATTGGTTGGGAGGTCAGGGGTTCAACGTGGGGTGGATAGACCCTAATAAGTCAACTGCAATGCATAAATTTCGTCACAGCAGCCGGCTTTTGGCCAGGTGGCAATCCCAAACCCATACACAAACCCAATTCGGAGGACTAGGCCAAGTGTTTGCCATTCCGACTTTGGCAAATAACCCAGAGAATGGGGAGGGAGCATAGCTGTGTTTAAGGAATTGCTGATTGACAATGTGGTCCTCACTGGGGACCGCCCACTTTTGTCGCCTTCGTCGTTGGTCAAGAGCAAATTTGGCAATACAACAGAACGCCTTTAACCTTTGACAGGCCGCACACATTTCAATTGTTGAAAATTTGTGGCCCAAGCGTCGGGTCGAACATTAAAATTGATTACCCCCCAGTTTGGCTAATAGGTGGTTTTGGGATCTTTGGTCTTGAGAATCCTCTAGTATTTCCCTTCCTACGCATTGCTACTATTTAAGAGAAATTGGCAGCCATTTAAACAGCCGTTGGTTCGCATAAGCGATTATGAGGAAAATTAATATAAATGACAATTTCCGCATCGCCTTAAGCGGTTATCAATTGCCGCCGTACCATGCTAATCGTGTAATCCTTTTTAAATGATTGCACAAACAAACGGATATTATTGTCATAAACAATTTATACATCCAACTACACAGCAATCGCACGCCATGTAATTCTGTTTATTGCTTGAGGTTATTTAATATTCAATTTCGGTTCTCGTTTCTTGGCCATATTCTGGGCACCTCATAAAATGCGAGAAACTAATAAAACCCATGGCAGACATATTTTAATCTGCACATGGGTAAATGCTGCCAAAAACGGAAGAGAAAAAATAAAGCTGCCAACATGAATTTATCACGAGGATATTGTAAATACAAAACTGTTTGCGTGAATTTTATTGAGTTCCGTTTAGCCGGCTGTGTAAATATATTGCTTTACATTTTAGCATACTTTTAATAATCTCCCAAAAAAAATAAACGTTTATCTTTATTTCCAAACAAAATATTTACACGAATGAATAAAAAGAATTTCAATACCAACTTGTGTCAATGTTTTTATTAGGATTTGTTTTGGCTACCTGGTGGCTTAAATTTTTCTTCGATTTATTCAAAAATATTTATTTTTACCAACTTTAAAATGGGGTCAAACCAACATAAATTAGTTTAGACGAATTTTGTTTTTATTAGCTGCCTAGAACAGTTTGTCAAAAAGTTAATAATTCAGAGGGGTTTAGAAATAAAACATTTCTATATTTTATATACATAAAGAAGAAGACAAAAGCATACGCATATACCAAAATATTAACTAGATATTTAATAATGGCTTTGGAAAATATTTGTGGAATGGATAAGGTACCGTTTATGAGAACCTTTGGGGCCCTCACCTCCGAACAGACAATCGAAGAAATCCGACTAGCCTCGAGTAACATGGATAATCCTTTCGCCATAAAGGCTCCACCATTTGAGAGACCCCGGGAACGTTTGAATGAACTGGCTGCCCAGAGTAAAGTACGGATGGATTTTGATCACGGAACCACCACGGTGGGCTTTGTTTACCAGGGAGGCATAATCCTGTGTGTGGACTCCAGGGCCACATCGGGGAAATTTATTGGATCCCAGAGCATGCAGAAAGTGGTGCAGGTGAATAAGTACATGCTGAGTACAATGGCGGGTGGTGCAGCGGATTGTTCTTACTGGGATCGGGTTTTGACCAGGGAATGCCGTCTGCACGAACTTCGCTATAAGGAGCGGCTATCTGTCCGATCTGCTGCCAGATTTATTTGCAATGTGGCTGCGGAATACAAGGGAATGGGTCTCTGCATGGGAATGATGTTGGCAGGATGGTCGCCCGAAGGCCCTACTTTGGTTTACGTGGACTCCGACGGACTGCGCATCCCCGGAAAGGTTTTTGCCGTGGGCAGTGGGGCCTCCAATGCCCTGGGAATTCTGGATACCGACTACCAATTTCATCTCAGCGATGAAGATGCCTTCGAACTGGCCTTTCGCGCAGTGTATCATGCCACCATGAGGGATATCTTTTCAGGTGGTTTGGTGAGACTATATCACATGGATCAAAATAGCTGGAGAAATGTGGCCAACAAAGATTGCCAAGAGCTGCACGAAGAGTACTCGAAAGAGTGAGTTTTGGGTACTGAATCCCTGATTTAGCAATGCTGATAATTTATTGAAAGCATTACTCAGTTTAAAAATTTATTTACTATTTTAAATTATTGAGCAAATATAGCCCTATGAATTTCACAAAATTGGGGCCATTAAATAAACAATTTTAGCCTGTTTATTTCCTAATTTGCTTACACGTTTTTAATTGGTTTTCCTTTTGTTTACTTAAATTTTCACTCAATTTTTACACGCTCCAAGAATTCCAATCCCCACGACCATGAAAATTGCTGGTCGCTAATCATTTTGCGCTAAATTAAGTGACCTAATGGAATGCTCTGATTTTTTTCCACTTTTTTAATGCTAACACGGAAGGTTGGGCTTTGCCTTCCCAAAATAAAAAGAGCATAAAATAAGTAAATGGCCTCCTTTCTGGACATTGGTACAACAATTAAGTTGGCATTTAAGTCGAATAAAGGACAGAAGCAGACACCAAAAAGAGTTAACAAAAGTCCCTGCATAAATCAATGGCAACAGCATTATTTGGGCATAGAAGTCGGGCAAGGGAATGAAAAAGGGTCCAAATACTTAAATTGTTCCTGCTTCGTGTCTTTTGGCCCGGCAGAGCAGCAATAATAAACAAGAAAGTGTGAAATAAAGCCAAATGGACATAAAAATTTGTGTGTCCAACACGAGAAAGGGGCAAACTGGAAAATGGAGGGAAAAATGCAGGCACAGCAATAAAACGCGGCCAGTGCTTTTAATTTGAAATGCTGCGAGGATAGGGCCAAAAGTCCCTGGAACTCTTTATTCCATCTCTCGCTTGCGACTTCCCTTTCAAGATATTTTCCCGGGATTGGGATTGGCATTGGGAACAGGGATCTGTTAAGGTGAGGGAGCACTTATAACGCTTGTGTGGATTACAAATCCCTCCGGTACAATAAACTGCTTTATTTGCAAAAGTTCTCTGCATAAAAAGACACAACTAAGTTAAGCAAATTTAAACACGCTTGCTGGTCAGTGCTGCAATGAAATTGAAAAACAAAGTTTTAGCTAAATATTTTCTAGGCTGCAAGAATTAAGTGTAATATAACTAAGCTAATTGGATAAGTTTATTATTTTTAAAACATCAAGAACTTTCTAATCAAACTTTTAGCTTTAGCCAACAACAATGTTCAAGTTCACTTTAAAAACGTAGAGCGTACCTCAGGAAATTTGAGAATAAAATTTAATTGGCAAAATCAAAAAATCCGAAAATGTTTCTTGATTATAATCAAAAATGTATAGATTTTTAAATGTATTTATTATTAATTTGGACCTCGTTATTTTTGAAAAATGTATTTTATTTTCCATTCTTCTAGAGTATTTAGAGTATTTCCAAGTGAGATTCAGCACATTCAGTAACCTAATTAGTATCTCACCTGCCGAAGAGCATTTACCATTATCTCGCTGACTGAAAGGCGGATACCTCCTGAACTATAAGCTTCGTTGCCCGTGTTTTATGTGCCCTGGCCGTAATAAATGTTGTCATTCGGTCGGTCCTTCGCCCACTTCCCAACTTCCTAACCCGTTTTGAAACAAGCAATAAATGTCAGCGAGTCGGCCGAACCGGGCATAAACTACAATGGCCGGCGGATACTTTATTTAACACTTGCATAAACGGACATGGCCGGAGATAGCTCTCACACTCGCCCAATGTGCGGGTTATAAAAAGCGCAGCTATTCGAAAGAATGGCTTGGGAAACCGGGGAATGGGAACACGTGTGCAACTCGTTACTTCTATGGGGTGCAATCAAAACGGGTCCAGGCACAGCACTTAAGTTTTTAAAAAAAAAGATGGAACAATAGGAATTTGTGGCATGCTAAAAATGGGATAACCCAGAAAAACGACTTGTATGCATTTCAAAATATTTCGCTTGGCTGTTTCTTTTTTAATCTCTGCGGAAATATGCATAGGATTGAAACTCGTTTTTAAATTCATTTCTCTGTCTCTTCAATCTATTTTCCATCTCCTTTTCTAAACCTAATGACATTGGATCTTCTCGTTTACTATGCTGCAAATGTGTCCCTTAAATCTGGGCAAGCCGTCGACACTAAGCCATGGGATAGAAGGACTCTTTGAGTGAAGTGCGAAAAGCAAAGCAATGCACTGGAAAAAATGTAACAAATAAATGGCTTTAAATTAAAAATTTTAATTACTTAACAAAATTTATAAGGAACTTGAAAGGTTTACCCACTTTAAGAAAGAAATTGATTTAAGCACCTTATCGTTAAGTCTTCTCAAGACTTTGTCTCTGTTAATTGTGTAAAAATATTTGTTATAAAGGTCTTTATAATATCTAAACGATGTTCTTAGAATAATATTTATGAAAATACTAACAACGATTTTTTCCACCAATTTATGGAATACATTAGACTTATGTTTTTTTTTCCTAGTGAAGTACCCTAACCAATGCTTGACACGCCCCCAAAGCCCCACCGCCTCCAGCTGGAGGAGCATAAAAAAATATTATGTCAATAGATAAAAGTCAAAGTGGAGACGACAGGCAGTGAAGACAACATCGGGGATAACAAACAGCAAACATTGGCCAAATGTCGCGTGTTCAATTGTGCAAGCCCAGCCTCCTTTGGCCCCCCTTCTCAGCACCACCCACTGATTTCCAGCCCACCGCCCACAGCCACCCACTGTCACTGTTTATTTTATTGATGTCGCTGCCGCTGACTTTTCCTCTGCAACTGGAGGCGACCATGACAAAGTCATCAACGGGTGGAAATGTGGGGAAAGTGAGTGGAAAGAGGGTGAAAATGGGGTGGGGTAAAGAGGGATAGGAATTGCTGTAAGGGCGGGTCAAAGGAGAGCGGATCCCTTCTTGTTTTACGACCAACGAAGCGGCCATAATTGTGCATTCACAGTCAGAGTCACAGTCACAGTCACAGCCACATTCCCATTCACTTGCTTATTATAGGCACTGAGAAATGGCTGTGGCCTGGATGGATTCTCCTTTGCCACCTCCACCCCCTTCCAGGGATCTTCCGATTCTCTGGTAATTTGCAAGTGATTTATGGGACCTTGTGCATAAAGGGAAGGAGGATCCAAATGCTGCCCATCGGAGGCAACAATTTCCATTTGGCGTTTGCTCCCTGTTTGAAACACTTGATTAGTCGCGATGATTGAACGGTTATTGGGGATTGAAAGTTGCGTTCTGGTGGTGAAGTACTTTTGGGGTGGAGTTATAATTACATTCAAGACGAATTTTTACAGGTAAATTTAGAGGTGTAGTGAAATATATGTTTAAAAAATGTTACAAAATATGGGTTACGGTTTAAGGTGTACTTTAAGGATGTAAGAGAGTTTATACACTCAAATAAAAAGTATTCATTTATTTCGTTTATATAAGCTTCATTGAAGGATATAACAATGTTATGATACAAATTTCATTTATATTATATCAACTCCACAAACCATTTTGTTTAGAAATACCATATATTTTGCAAAAAATCTTTTTTAAAATAACCTTAAAAATTTGAATGGTGTTTTTCTTGATATTCTGTGATTTTTATGACACCCCACCACAGAATGTGAAATGGCCAGAAGGCTCCAATTAAATGTCTCCCCCACTGGCCTACTTTAGATTTGATGCGGCCCACATATAGAATTTTATATTTTCATGATTTATTAGCCACTGCCAACCGCAGGCGATGCCGCCACTCAGCAGCACTCCGCAAACCGTAATTTGTGTTACCCCTAAACAAAAAAAAAACACAAACCCCAACACACAGCAGATACACGGCCAAATGACAGCTACAAAAAATATTATAAATATAAATATTTTCGGAGCAACAGCACATGCAATCTTGTGCAATTTTCACGCTGCAAGTGAACAAAGAGGAGCGCTACCCAGCCCAATCCCCGGTTTTGAACTCGTAACCACCCAAAAAACCAACCCGGGCTGTCAGCGCAAACAGTTGCAAACAGACATGAAGATTATGGTACGTAGGGGGATTTCCAGGGCAGTCGTTACAATGTAGTTACATATAACAGCAAACTATATATACAGTATATATATAGAGAGATTTCCAGATCCTCACGTTTTGCGTTTGTTTGTCGGAGAGGCAAATTTGGTAATTCTGCTTCTAGCACACTTGAAATTATTTTCTCCCTCAACAAAAAAAAGGAAACAAAAAAGTTTTCGAGTCCTTGGCAAAACTTCTTTGTGGTGTAGGTTGCGAAATTTATTGAGCTTCCCGTTAAGCACTTAAAGTTGGGCTTCGGCAAACAATTTTGATATGAGCATTGTGCTTGAGTTTGCCATATCCCACATACTTAAACGTAAACAAATTTGTCACACGGAGCTGTGAATAATCTTCGATTGGAATTGATTTTGAATTGGTTGAAAAGCAGCTTGAGGGATTTTTGGTGAGCCCGCCCTTAGGCGATGATAAATTGAATTCGAATTGCTGCCAAAGGACTTGGTTTGACTGCTTTTCTCATTAGAGTTGTTGCACTTGCCAATTCAATATCTAGCCAGGTCACTTCACCTTAAGAACATAAATCCTGACAGCCTGAGTTGTTTCCTTTTTACTGATGCCGCCACGACTCAAAAAGGCCTTAGGCTGTCAACTTTAGCATATTTAACGCTTTTTTATCCCACCTACTTTGCAGCTTTTCTTTTGTCATTTTATTTGTTTTTCCTTGACTTCTTCTTGTTGTGAAAAACTCGTCTAAGCTGCTGGAAAATCGCAAATTTATGTTAATTTTACGTAGACATTATTGTAAATGATGTGCTCGGGAAGGAAATTAAATGAAATAAAATAAGAAATTCTGGAAATGATACTTTTCTGCTCTGCTGAGGTTTCCCAAGCTCACCTACTGTTTATCTTTTTTTTATTTTCTTGAGCTGATTTCCCCTGCAAAGGTCAGTTGTGCGATTATTCACAGACTCCTTTCGCAAATCACCGAAAGCCAAAAAGCTGCCATTGAAATCCACTTACGAAAAGGACCTGCCACTGAGCCAAAGGAAAAACAGACATGGTAATAGGATTTCCACTACATTTTATATATATTTTCCTAGTGTGCAGTAGTTTTATCTGGTTTGGTTCACTCGTTTCA